AAGTAAACAAGAGTAAGCATGTCAGCTAAATAATGATAATACCAAGGTGAGAAGAAAATTGAAAAAGAACGAAGGGAAAGTTGGAGATACAATTCGGTTAGGAGAAGGGGAAGGTTTGGTACTGCCACCCAAGAACACCTAACTTACGCTCGAAAACCCTCAACCGTAGACTCCCTAACCACGAGCGCCGGAAGCGAGTTCCAACGTTCAATAACTCGACGCGACAAGCGAGTTTCCGTCCTTACCCGGTCAGAACGCTGTTTGTGCAGCTTCAACGGGTGACCTCTGCAGCTTAGCGGGACTAAATAGCCAGGACAAGTCTGGACCGATCTTACCCGTTAAGATACGGTAAGTGAGAATCAAGTCTCCTCTAATTCTGCGGTAGTGCATTGAGTACATATCCAAGCTAAGCAAACGTTCGGGATACGTTTGCCCCCGTAATCCTTGCACTAATCTTGTACCTACTCGCAAAACCCTCTCCAGTTCCATTTTGTTCCTTGCAGGACAAGGTGGACAAGCCTGGATACAGTACTCTAAGTGAGGTCGCACAAAAGCTGAGAACAGCTTCACAAAAATATTGGCCGTTAGGACACCGAAGGAGCGGCGAATAAACCACATCATACGGAACCCTCTACAAGCAGCCTTCCTCCAATTTTCCCCAGAGTGAAGCAATGAGGTATGGGTGATACCTAGATCAACCTGCTGAATGACAACAGGGAGTTCACTTCCACCAACTACATAGCGCGTGGGGGGACTAGCACCTCCAATGCGGAGGACAGAACATTTCGCCTGATTTATGGGCATCAACCATAAGGTTGACCAATCCCAGAGCCTATCCAAGGCACTCTGAAGTGCCTCAGAGCCACCAGGGATATCCACAATATTCCAGAGTTGAGGTCATCAGCAAACAATAGCGACGGTACTCCAAGCTCCTGGGGTAGGTCATTGACATAAATTGCGAAAAGCAACGGCCCTAGAACCGAGCCCTGCGGAACGCCACTAAGAACAGCTTGTCTAAGCGAAAGGCTACGCCCCACGCGTACACACTGTTCTCTGCCCCTCTAGGAAAGCAGAAACCCATTTAAGGGCGGCTCCAGATATCCCATACGATCTCAACTTCAATGAGAGTCGTTGATGTGGGACAGTATCAAAGGCTTTCGAGAAGTTAAGGAAAAGCACGTCGACAACGTAGCCGCTGTCTACTGCCTCGGGCAAGCTTTCACGAGCTAGAAGTAACTTTGTCAGACATGTAAAGCCATTAGGGAATCCGTGCTGTGTCGCATGGAGAAAATTAAACTTAACTAAGTGGTTCGCCACCGAATTCCTGACTAATATTTAAAACAACGTAACTACCAAGCTTGTTAAGCTGACAGGCCGGTAGTTTGTGAGGAGAGCGCCGTCACCGCCCTTAAAAATCGGACAGATGAGTACATTTCTCCATTCCGAAGGTAAGGCACAGCTATCGAGTGTTATTTTAAACCTGCATGTCAGAGGGTCACTTAGCTCAGCGGCCAATTCATGCATCAGCTTCGGATGAATTGAATCAGGGCCAGCTTTGGAAGGATTTAGCCCTTGCAATAGCATGAAGACTTGTGTCTCCGTTATGCTGATTTTAGTTAGGCAAGAATCTTCTGGGACTTTTGTGACCAGCTCCAACTGAAGTAGTGTGACCTCACAAGAAAAGACACCAGTATCACGTTCGCTAAGTATACAAGCATCATAGTCGGTATGCCCATGGGTCCCGTCCGCTCGTAGTAAAGCCGGTATAGACGAGTTTGTACCGCTACGTCAGATGTGAGCCAAACTGCGAAGGCATCGATGGTCGAACGGAACTAGCCTCTTCATGTCCACCGATCTTAGAGGCCAGGTTTCGCAACCGTACAGTAGGGCCGAACGTACCGTTGCTTTGTACACTCTACCGTTCAGGGCGAGAGTAATGTCGCGCAGCCGCCAGAGGCGGCGAGAGTAAGCAAAAGCACTTCGAGCTTTTGTTATACGGTTCGTGATCTCATCCTCGATCAATATCATCAACAGCAGTACATCAGCCATTTGAACTGATGCTTCGCTGCCATACAACCATGAGGACCTATGAAATAAAGAATAAGAGGGAGAGAAGGGGGACTTACCTGAAAACCTTAATGCCCTAAGCAAACATTCACGGTTCAGGCGCCTACACCTTGTGTAGACAACATACCGTCACAAACAGCTCGCTATCGTGCAAAGATAAGGCGCTGATACAACTTCCCAGGTAGTTGAATGTTCGAACGACTTCTAGCTGATCCCCACCAAGGGGCAGCGCAGGAGGCGATCCCTGTCAAGCTTGGAGGAACGCTTTGCATTTCGATGGTGCAAAGCAAAGCTCGAAACGACTAACAGCCAGTGCTAATCTGTCCAGCGCGGCTCGGCACGTCTGGGAGCTGTCACAAATGAGGGCAATGTCGTCTGCATACTCCAAGTCAAGAATTCGTTCTCCTGGGAGTAGCTCCACACCTTCCAAGTCATGTCCTGTAAATGCAATCTCCATGACTTCGTCAATAGCGAAGTTGGATAGGAAAGGTGACAACGGACATCCTTGTGCCACATCGCTGGAGATATTGAAGGGTGGCAACAGCTTGCCGTAAGCCTTCACTCTGCCCGTGCTACGAGCGTATAATGCTCGCATAATATTTACATATTTCTCGGGCACACCTTTCCTGAGTAGACAATTCCAAAGGGCACATCGATCAACCGAATCGATGGCACCTTTGATGTCAAGGAACACGACTACGGTGGGCCGCCAATATGTGTGACGGTGCTCCAACAACTGACGCAAAGTGAAGATGTGGTCGATGCAGCCACGACCCCGACGAAACCCGTCTTGCTCCTCACGAATCTGGCTTTCACGAGCGGCAGTCAGTCTGAGAAGAATTATGGAGGCGATGGAGATCAGACTGATTCCTCTATGGTTGCCGCATTGCGAACGCGAGCCCCCTTTCAAGATGGGAACAATGACGGAGCAGCTCCAGTTGGTTGGGAGTCTCCTGCTCCCACAGTTTCACCAATAATTCATGTAAAGCATCAACAAGAGCAGAGCCTCCGAATTTAAAGAGGGCTGAAGGAAGACCATCTGGTCTCGCGGCTTTGTTCAACTTCAACAGTCCGATCTCACGTTCGACTTCTGAGGGAGAGGGTGGATGCAAAGGGACAGCCCACGGAGCAGGGCCATCACTGGCCGGCGAAGAATCGAACAATTCTAGACGGCTAAATTGCTTTTCAAAATGCTCAGCCCAACGCCCCAAACGTTTTAACAAATTGTGGATAGGCTGTCCACTCTCGTGACGTATAGTTTCACTAACACCAGGTCTCCTGTTGCCCGTTTCCCGTATCAGACGGAATAACTTACGATGGTTGCCAAGGGCAGCGGCCACTTCCATCTCTGACGCATGATGAGATCACCAGGATTCGCGGTCTCTCTTCAGGCTACCGCGGAGTTTTTCCCGGAGCTCTTTGCGAGTTTCATTGTGTTCGCTTTCAGCCGGGATAGGTCAGCCAGCGTCGATAAGTTCCAGAGACCGCGAAGAGGCCCAATACTCATGTTGATTATCAGACATACCATATGAGGATTTGCCTGCTGCTAATAAGGTCTGGCGAATATGTGACCAGTGACCATCAATTGTCTCCAGTGAGCGCTTACTCAACTCGCATGTCAGTGTACTTCGATACGCATTCAGAACAGCTGGCTTTGTCAGTTGGCTGGTGTCAACGCGCTCACGGCGTCGTCGTGGGCATCCGCCAAAACGCACATACAAGTGCATGATCGGTGTCCACACATGTGCTCCAAATCGAGCGACAGTTCTGGATGCAGCATCTCCAGCGGTAACTGATAGCAATGTGATAGATCTGCGTCCAAGGTTACTTCGAGGCTGGTGGGCACCAAGTCACCCTCATGCGGGTGCTGTATCGGTAGTGCTCGCAAGAAATAAGCGGGCATCTTCACACAAATGAAGCAACCGATCACCGTTATCATTACGGGAGCCTACAACGTGCTGACTACCCAGATGCATTCCATCAGTGGACATCTTTCCAACTTGTGTGTTCATATCCCCAGCCAGCACAACAGTGTCCGAGCTTCTTCAGTGGCGAAGAAGCTGGGTCAGTTGGCGGTAGAAGTCATTCTTTACCGAAGCATCGCTACAGTTTGTGGGCGCGTAGGCAGCGATGATGAATAGGCACCTATTAGTCCTGTGCGACTTTGAAGCTTTGAACGAGCCAGCCAATCGGACCGCACACATCCGGCTACTGATTAGAATCCAATCAACCAGAGCAGCTTCAGCCCGGAGACTCAGGGCAATGTCAACACCAGCTTGGCCGGTGCTCGAAGTTGCATCGTCACCGGATAGGCACAATGAGAAAATACTGATGGTGTCACCTGAAGGGGATCGCAGAGTAAACACAGAGCTCGAGTCTTCCAGACGGGTCTCCGATAAGCAGCAGATATTGATCGAGAGGATCTCTAATGTTCGGGCAAGTGCTGCCTGTTGACTGATCTTTAGTAATGTGCGTACATTGAGTCATGCCAATCTGAAGGAGGATCTAGGGCTCCAAATGGAAGCCGATGAACTGGAATGGACCCCATTGCTTGGACATAGGCTTATCGACAGGAGAGGAGTGACGATCCGCGTTAGCATGTGAGTTGAAATTAGAAGATAAATGCCTAGCAAAGGATGTTAGGGGAGGGCCAAGAATCGAGCGGTTGAAAATCAGGCGATATAAGTGAAGTTGGAACGTGACCATAAGGGAGAAAAAGCGTGAGAGGGAGAATAAGAGGACGGGAAGTCTTGACCGGTAGCATGCAAACCCCTATCCACCCTGCTCGATGCAGCAGATAGGGCACCGTTGATTATCCTCTGCGGTGCCAAGAGCATCAAGAAATTGTTTGATGAATGATTCAAGTTCAAGCGGGACTGGAACGATAGGATGATTCCGTGAGTGTCCCTTCTTCGGCGGGTCGTTTGAACCAGGGGGGGGCCCGCGCGACCGGGGGGGGGGGGGGGGGGGGGGGGGGGGGGGGGGGGGGGGGGGCGCGGGGGGGGGGGGGGGGGGGGCAGAGGGGGGGGGGGGGGCCAAGGGGCGGACACACACAAGGGCCTACGGGATGGGGGGGGGGGGGGGCACCGGGGGGGCGACCGCTCCCCGAAGGCCCCGCGAAGGCACATGCCGCGGGCCCAGCACGGGGCTGCTCCGCGCGGGGGGCGCCCGCGGGCTGACCACCCCCCCGGTCGGGGGGCGGGAGGAGACGGGCAGTGGGGCGCCCGGAGAGAGCTCCTCCAGGGGGGCGCCCCGGGCAGAGTCGCGGACGGGCCCCGACCACGAAGGGGGGGGTGCCCCCGCCAACGGGGGGGCAGGGGGAAGTCCCGGGGGACCAGCCCCGGGGGGGGGGGGGGGGGGGGGACCGCACGGGGGGGGGGGGGGGGGGGGGGGGGGGGGGGGGGGGGGGGGGGGGGGGGGGGGGGGGGAGACCTAAAAGGGGGCGCGAGGGCCGGGGGTAAGGGGTGCACCCTGGCGAGGGGAAAAACGCACACGACGGGGGGGGGGGGGGGGGGGGGGGGGGGGGGGGGGGGGGGGCAGGAGGGGGCACCGAGCGAGCAGCCCGGGGGGGCACCGCTCACGGGGGGAGGGGGGCACAGGGGTGGCGCCCCAGACCCCAGCCCCACCCCCCGACGCAAATGGCGACCGGGGTGGCCGCCCGACCCGGGGGGGGGGGGGGGGGGGGGGGGGGGGGGGGGGGGGGGGGGGGGGGGGGGGGGGTGGGGGGGGGGGGGGCCCGCGGGGGGGTGGGCGGCGGGCCGCCGAGGGCGACACCCCCGACGCCACGCCGGACGACGGCCCCCCAGGGGGGAGCCGTCTCATATTCGCCCCCACAGGGGTGGGAAAAGCCACCCCCAAGGGGTGAGGAGGGGGGGGGGGGGGGGGGGGGATGAGAATATATAAAGGAGACCACGGGGTCGGGACCGGACCGGGGCCCCCCCCACGCGAGGCGCCCACCGCGGCGACCACCGTGGCTCCCGTCGCCCCACCCGCCGCGAACCGGACCGGCTCCCCCGGCTCCCAGGCCCGCGCCCGCGGGGAAGACCGGCAGGCGGGCGAGCGCGCGGGGCCGGGGGGCGGGCGGGCCGGAACCCCGCACCGCACCATCAGGGGGGGGGGCCCGCCTACCCTGGACTCAGGGGGGGTTCGTAGAGCTGGCCGGCGGGGGGGGGGGGGGGGGGGGGGGGGGGGAAATATATGGACAATTACACAGAACAAGAAGGGGGGGGGGGGGGGGGGGGGGGGGGGGGGGGAAAAGAGAGGAAGAAGGAAAAAAGGGATGTATATAAGAGGCTCAGTGGTGGGGGGGGGGGGGGGGGGGGGGGAGGGACTGGCCCTCCCAGTAACACAACCGCGGCCGCTCCCCGCAGGGGCGGGCCACCACAGAAGGGAGCCCCGGGGGAACGGGGGGCGCACCCGCGGGGCCCCCCTGATAGCGCAGGGGGGGGGGGGCCGGGTAGACCCCGCAGGACGAAAAAAAGGTTTAAAAAAGGGGGGAAAGAGGGGAGTAGAAAAAGGGCCGAAGCCGTGCACGGGGGGGGGGGCGCCGGACACCCCCCTCTCACCCCGAGCGCCCCAGAGACACCGGGGGGGTGAGGCCACCCGGGCCGCGTTCCCGGGCCCCTCCCCCCCTGGGCGGTACGCGGTCAGGCTCGGGGGCCGAGCCCCGAGGGGGGCGGCCCCGGTGGAAGGGCCCCGAGTTTTTATGGCGACTATGAAATACTGATAGACGAAAAAAAACGCATCACACACTGTCCAACCAATTAATGCCCACTTATCCTGCCTTCGCAGTCAGTGCTGGGCCGGTTACGTGAAGTAAGAAAGAGAAAAAAGTAAACTCAGAAGGCAAAAGAGAAAGTGGAAAGAGCTAAGCAAACATAATACCAAGAGATTTGAGTCATTAACAAAAGAACTGAAAAGTGATGGTCAGACAGTAAGGAAAAAAGAAAAGCTGGCCGTTGCCACCCAAGAGCACGAGCTGCTGCGCAAAACCCTTAGCCGTATGTTCTCTAACCAGGTGATCTGGAAGCAAATTCCAGCAATCTATAATTCGGCGCGACAGGCGATTTTCCGTCCTAATCCTATCAGACCGTGGTTTATGCAGTTTCAGTGGGTGACCGCGGAGATTAATAGCA